AAGGAAGGAAGGAAGGAAGGAAGGAAGGAAGGAAGGAAGGAAGGAAGGAAGGAAGGGCAATAGCCCTTAGACCACTTCACAGTGCTTTTCAGCCCTCTCTAAGTGGTTGACAGAGTCAGCCTACTGTCCCCCAACAGTCTGGGTCCTTGTTTTACCCACCTCGGAAGGATGGAAGGCTGAGTCAACCTTGAGCCTGGTGGAATTTGAACTGCCAAATTGCAGGCAGACAGCAGTCAGCAGAAGGAGCCTGCAGTCTTGCACTCTAACCACTGTGCCACCGCAGCTCATGTCTAACAAATAAATGGCTGTAAGCCAAGGCCCACCTGTACCTTGCTGGCATGAGGACCCTTAAGGTGAAGGCAGGTTTCTGGCACGTATTGGAATGTGACTCACAACTGATACTCACACTAACAACTGTTGCAGCTTCCCCAAATCACGTGATCAAAATTCAGGCACTTGATAACCGGCATGTATTTAAGAGGGTTGCAGCATCCGGGGGGGGGGGGTGTGTGTGGTTATCACATGATCACCCTCGGCAACTTTTCCAACACACACAGTCAGTGGAGAAAGCCGGATTTGCTTAGTGACTGTGATCACTTAAACAACTGCAGTGATTGACTTAACAACCGTGGCAAAAAGGTAGTAGAATGGGAGGGGGGGCCTCACTTAACAACCACCATGTTTAAAAATTGAAATTCTGGTCCCAGTTGTGGTAATAAGTTGAGGACAACCTGTAATTCAATTTCACAGAATTCTCCCCCAGCTCATCTACACACACACACACACACACACACAGACCTCAATTGCGTGGAAATTCAACTCCTCTTTGCACCATAGTACAGGCAAATCCCACTCACTAAGCCAGTGGTGGTTAACCTTTTTGGGCTCCTGTGCCAAAAATTGTGCACACGCTTACATGCTTGAGCTCACATGCCAGCAACCAGAAGGCAATGCGTGCCCCCCCCATGCATGCGCGCGCAATCCCCACTGTCCCACCCCCGCCACCCCCTTACCTGCACTGCGCCTCACAGCTGATTTTCGGCCTCCCAAAGGCTTGAGGAAGGCTTCTGCAGGCTTTGCAGGCCGAAAACTAGCCC